CCCCACATGTGGCTATTTAAATTTGAATTAATTAAAGTTAAATAAAATTTAAAAGTCAGTTCTTCAGTTACACTAGCCACAGCTCAAATAAATGTTTAATAACCACACACAGCTACTGTTTCAGACTGTGAGATATAGAGCACTTCCATCAACACAGAAAGTTCTATTGGATGGTGCTGCCCTGGAGAACCCTTCTATTATCATAGTTAGTCACACAATTCCTTTCTCCTCTAACTTCCCCTACTCCCCTTCCACTTTGGGAAGGAAATCCACACCCAGATTCTTGGGGCTGCTTTATGTCATCATTAGCAGCAAGAGCGACCATGAATCTAACCTATCATCACAGAGACATCAGTGAGCCCACGTGACAAAGTAAAAAGGAGGGGATTTTAAGAATGAATTTTAATCATATGTTAAGCTCATAGATAATATTAAGGGAAGAAATAGGATACAAAACAATATGTATAACATTTCAGTTTTGTGTGTATATATCTGGCCACATTCGAATTATAGAAATAAAGATAATTTTTCCTTTCTTTCTTTATTCTAGTCTACATTTCTAATTAGTATAATTAATTTCAAATATATTTTATAATTAGAAAAACAAGTTTATTTTTGGAAGGAAAAACTTTCCCAAAATTGACAAGAGGAAAAATGATTCTCCTGGACATTCAGGAGCTGCAATGTGGGTAGAATCATTTTATCTGCAAATTCTTCCCTGCTCCCACCCCACCCTCATCCCATCTTGGAGGTAAAATAACTTCCAAAATTGGGGAGGGGTGATTTTATAACTCAATGGGACAACTCACACTTATTGCCAACATACATTTATTTGTGCATTCTTATGCTATTATAAATGTACGTGTTCTCACTCCAACTGTATTATCAGTCTTCAGGGACAAGATATATATATATATATTTTTTTTTAGTCTCTCCAACAGCACCATGACCAGCACTTGATAACGACCATTGACAGATTGCTGACCTTGCCATCATTCTTGTTTTATGCTCACGAAATGTGTTAACATCTTGCCTCATTTTGCTTTGGGTTCAAGAGGTAGTGTTCCTTCCAAATTTACTATGTGAAATCCAACAGCTAGAATACAGGAGCCATTCACCAAAAAATGAGTTAGGTTTCCTCTGGGTTTGTGTGTGTGGCAAGACCCTAATGGAATTTTTAAAAATTTCATTAGTTTTATGGAGGGAGCACTGGGAAGAGGATATGTTAAAGCTCTTTGATTCGAGTGACCACAGTCATCCACACCAGTGTATTTGGCATCTCTAGTAACTGGCTTCTTGGAGGGAGGGATTTAATAAAGAGGATTTTCTTTCCCTGAGTTGGCTGTGAGAGTGATAAAACATGCTTGCGGGGCCATTCTGGTTTTGACTGTGTCTTGTGTCAGCCAAGACACCCACAGGCAGGAATTACAGTCCACTCTGCCCTCTTACTCAGATCTAGACAGACAGGGGAAACTGGGAAATGGAGCCCAGAATGTTCATTTTTTTTCTTCACCAGGGACATTTTACTACACTACAAACCTTTTATACTCTTACACATCACAACACACAAATGTAGATTGAAGCCATATGACATTTCTGTGCTATCTTAGAAGCATGATTTAAGAGAGAATGAATTGGTTTTCACAAAAGGCCAGTGAAAGTCTCCATCACTGTACCTGACACACTTGAATAATTAATGTTCCTATTTGGAGAGATATGGGAGTTTAGTGAAAAATGCCTTCTCTTCTTGGAAGGGTAATATTACACTGAGGAATGCTATCAGGGAATTTATGGGTGACACATTTGAGCAGAGCAAGCGTAGGGGCAAATAACAAGTATTGTCAATTTTGCTCAGTGAGGTGACATTACAGTCTAATAAACCAGCCATGATGGTACATGGTAATGTTTTCCTCCTAATGGGTATGCTGTGATTACATGTGCTTGGCCACCAGGTACCAAAGTCATGACCTGTTTAAGAAACTTCCCAAACCACGAGCTGCATATCCCAGGTCCTTCAAACCATTCAAACTTGTTACTGTTTTGAACCCACACTGAGTGAGTGAAGAAATCAGGATGCATGTCAATTAGTGCAAGATCTAGGAACCAACATGGTTAAGAGGTATATAGCTCAGATCCCTAGAGGGCCAAGAACATTCCAGAAGTGTCCACCTGGGAACTATAAGTGAGCCATATTCCCACTGCTGTGTTCATTACTACATTAGGTTAGTGCTCAAGGACTTACTTATTGCCTTTTTGATGTTTCTCTTAATAAACATTATTTTAATGTTTCTCTTAATAAACATTATTTTATTTTTGAGAACTTTATTGTGAAATAACTGTACATTTTTATTTTCTTTATTTAGCAAACATATTATATAAATTATATCATTAAAATATGTATTTTATAAATATAGAATTATATTACATGTAAATATTACTTCATTTAATTTTCATAATAGCTCAGTGAGGTGTAAGGCTACTTTTAACCCCATTTTACAAATTAGAAAACTAATACACCAAGAAGCTAGGTAATTCGCCAAGACTACACAATTACTAAGTAGTTGAGTTAGGATTTGAACCCAAGATGTCTGGCTCCAGAATATTTGCTCTTCACCACTATTAAAATTCAGAAAAATATAAAGCCAAAAAAAGATAAAAGAAACCCGAAGACAACTATAGATATATTGTCTCAAAATCTGTCCTATACAGACTTCCACACAAATGAACCTGGCGTCCACATTCAGTTTTGTATCTTGTTTGTTTTTTTCAGCCAAACCCTATAATAGTCTTTCCACACTGTTAAAAATTCCTTATAAATATTGTCTTAATGTTTATTTAATATTCTCATCATTTAAATGTACCACTATTGCTTAATCATTCTCTTAGTGTTGCCATTTTGACTCTTCAATTTTCTCTTAGGACAACTAGCAGTGCGATGATTCTCTGTGCAGAATTTCTTCTGTTCTTCGGAATATACTTTTAGGTTACATTCTCAGAAGTAAAATTACCATGTCCAAGAATATGAAGAGTTTTAGCATTCTAGATACATGTTTTCAAATTATTTTACAAAAAGCTTATGGCTTTTTTGCCATGTCTTCGATACTATGCAGAAGTGACTTCTTCACCAGTCTCACTCCAGCAGTGAGAATGATTTTTAGAAATCTTTGCTAATGTGTTAGGTAGAATATGGTATTTTATCATTGTTTTTATTTTTATGTTTTTCTTAGTTAAAAGATTGACACTTTGTCCATATTCATTGATGAATTACATGAGTATTTGAGAGGTCTGTTTGGGTCCTTCGCCATTTGTCTATTGAGAGCAAATAGAAGCCTTGAGTATCAGAGAAAGAGCCAATAATTTTCTATTCTTTCTTCTCCTGCCTTGATATGAAATTTCCTTAGGTATTTTCCTAGTCTATAGTGTTAATATGCATTTAATGTTCTCCCCAAACCTATGTGGATTTTTTTCGACTCTGTATAAAGTAGTCATCCGCTTATAAAGGATATTATTTTGTTTTCTACTGTGAGTGTGCCCTGTGCATAAATCTCCATTGATCCCTCTGTCCTGGATCATAAGCTTCTAGAGGATCAGACTGTGTCTTTATGAGCATATTTTTTGGTGATATTTCTAGTACCCATAGAACAGGCCTCCTCTCAGCCAAGGGTAATTTGAGCAGTTACACTTAAGGGCAGTGGTATCCAACCATTTTAGCTCCAGGGACCAGTGCTCCTATGAGAATCTAATGCCTGATGATCTGAGGTGGAGCTGAGGCAGTGATGCTAGCACTGGGGAGTGGCTGCAAACACAGATGAAGCTTCACTCGCTCGCCACTGCTCACCTCTTGCTGTGCAGCCTGGTTCCTAACAGGCCATGGACGGGTACCAGTCCACGACCCAGGGATTGGGGACCTGGACTTTAGAGTACCAATCAGAAACGAGAAGAGCTGTGAGCACAGTAGGCTGGATATGTCAGTGCACCTTGGTTGTATATGAACTTCCTTATCCAGTGACTCATTTACTTTTCACGATAACCCAGTGACATAGACAGTGACATTCACATGTTATAGTCGAGGAAACAGACCCAATGAAATGGAGAGTTTGCAGCAGAGCTGCAACTCTCCCTTCAATAACGTATTGAATAAAGATTTCTTATTATATTTTTTAAAGCATATTGTACTCCAAGAAAGTAATCCATTGGCTTAAATTTATCAAAGCAAGGAGGAAAAAGGAAAAGGAAGGTATGGGAGATTATAGAAAAAGACCACACAGGATCCCAAGGAAAACTCTATTAAGTGAGGGGAGAAAAATGAGAGATAAATGAAACATGATTAGTAAAATGTTGATTGTTTTTAAATATTAAGAAATCTTTCCACCTATTTCTTCATTATCCTATTTGTTCACTTCCAATTTTCCCATTTATTGCAAATATCAACAATAATAATTGAGTAAATTGTAGTAATTTAACTATGGGAGACTTATGTAACTATTCAAAATAACGAGGAAGATATAAACATGTATGTATTTACTTGCTAGAAGGACAGATGAATGAATAGATCTCTGTTGCCTTTAAAAAAATCCTTCAGGTTTTTATCAAATATGAAAATGGGATATAGGAATGTAGGATAAAGGATATAGGAATATAGGATAAAGGAAGATGGACTCAGAATCTGGTGGGAGAGCCTGGACAAGGATGTCCTCTGAAGGTCAGGGCTTCAGCGTCCTGGGCTCTTTAGAGAATCTAGGGAAACTAAGAAGCCCTTCGCCTCAACTGCTAGAGTAGGAATAAAAATGTCATAAACCAGCAAACTTCAAAAGCTAAAGGTGGAAGAGCTTCTGTCCAAATGGTGCATTCCAAACACTTGCATAGAAGATTTTACAGATGAACTTAAGCATTAAAGGCCTTTTGTCATATAAAACTAGGCTTTGTGAGGGTCTAGTTGGGTTGGAATGATCTTCAAAAGTTGTGCCTTGCAGTAGCTCAATGCCGTGCTTGCATTTCAGGATTTTATGGGCAGCTGCAGACATTCTGCCCCCCACATTACCCTGACTCCCAGAGAACCATGCCGCCCAGCAGCTCCTGCAGTGTGGTACCTTCCTTCGAGGACTACCTGGTCCCCACATCCATGGGCCAGGCTGGCTTTGATGTTTTCCACAGAGCCTTCTCAACTCACTCGGGCATTACAGGTGCGTTGGTTTCTGTGACTTAGAAACTTGGCAGACTGGCAGGAAAGACCTGTTGGGTTTCCGTGACCAGCTGACTAGATTTGACCCAGCACACGAGCACATCAAATTCTGTTGAATTTATTCCTGAAATGTTTCTCCTCTTCACCTTTTGCTCCAGCCCCACTTCTACCATCCTAGTCTAGGGGCCATCATATCTCCCAGACCATGTAAAGAGCCTTCTAACGCGTCTCTCTGAGTCGACTCTTTTATGTTTACCATTCTGCTTTTCATGCTATTGTAACCAATGTCTTCCAAGAATGAAGGATAAAATAAGTGACTTTCCTGCTCAAATACTTTAGCTGAGAATAAAGTCTACTCTTCTTAGCCTGGCACTTAAAGCACCTATGAGTTAGGCTTCATCGTACTCTCCAGACTGCCCTCACATGTGTCTGCCTGCATACTCCGCACCTGAGCTTTGCCATCACATTTGGCCCCATGTGCTCCTCCCTCTGTCTTTGTTCTTTTTTTTAACCTCTCCATCTGTAAGAATCACTTCCTTCTTTATGATTCAAATTTAATAGCACCTCCTTTTTAAAACCACCTTCACCCTTCCCTCGAACACTTCACTTTTACTTATACTGAACCCATATTTTGTACGAAGACTTATTTTGGCCATCTGCCAAAATAACATCAGCCTCCTCTTCCATCAAGGTACTAAGGATAGAAAACTTCTAAAGGGTCTAGCCCAGGAAGGTTGTCTCAGTGTACATCTGGGGGGTGTGGCAAGGCAGGAGTTAACTTGTGTGTTCTTTCTCTTCCAGTGTATGATTTACCTTCAGGTTCCTCAAGCCTGTTTGGAGAGTCTCTTCGCAGCGGGCCTGAAGACACCACATTCTTGCAGATCAGTGCTGTGGACCGCTGCCCTAGCCAGCTCTCCTCTGTCTATACGGAAGGCTAAAAGCTCCCCTGGTCTCTGCTTCCACTGGCATCCAGAACCTTTTTGTTGCTTGCCACCTTTTGTATTCATACTCTCATAGACTGCTTGAAAAGGATGTCCGCTGAATCAGCAGAGCCTGCAAAGTCACAGATGTATCTTTGTTACTGGATGATCAGAGCTGGGCTTTACAGGAATGTTTGCGGTTGCTCCTTTTTTCCTCTGGGTTTTGCTGGTGACCAGCAGGACTGTCTTTTTAAAGGGAATTTAGACTCTCACTCTACCAGATACCTGTTACTTCCTGGCTGTCAACCTGCAAAGGACACCAATGAAGTGATGTGCATGTGAAAATGTAGTTTGGGGATCACCCTTGCTGAAAACTCCAAATAGAGAAGGGCAACAGAAATTGCCAGAAGCACATCGAACTGCCTCACCTAGTGCTCAGCGTCGCTCCTGGCTGATGCAAGGCCAGGTATAACAAGGGAAATTCAGGTCCACAGCACAGCATGGGCGTCACCCACTCTTGGAAAGGCCCTGAGTGTCTGGCCCTGGCCTGGCATTCTAGTGACCTGGCTGCTTCTCTCTCCTCTTAGATATCCCTGTGGTAACCAGTTGCTTTTCAGTGTTTCTCCAAAAACAAATTAAGAAGGTTCCGTCGAGCACAGTCCCTTGAAAAGCACTACAACTAGTTTTATATTTCAGAAACCTATCTTTTTTCTTTCATTTTAAAGACTTGTTATTGACATCTACTTTAAAAGGAAAAAATATTTAGAAGTCTGTTCTTTGGATGGAAATAATTATTTTAATCACCCAGCTACATACATTTTGCCACAGCTGTAGCTCTGCCTGGGCCTACCTTGCAGCACCTGTGAGCACTCCTGGAATGTTAGTTTTACATTTAGCAAAGGCTACCTGAGGGAAAGGTACTGCCCAATACCTTTCCTGCTATAGCAGGAACGCTGAGGGTTGACTGTCGACTCCACCTCAAAGACCTTGTTCAAAGCAAAAGGTTACTTGACTGGTTCACCCATTGCTTCTGCTCTGGTGCTCTACCCAGAGATGTGCTAGAAGATGTGAACACAGGGACGCACTGAGTTAGGTTCCTGCATCTCTTGGAAAACCTAACTAGAGATGCCCTATTCCCAGTTCTTTTATACAGCCTCTGCTTCCCTCTCTCAAGATATCCACTCCTGTCTGTCTGCCTCTCTTCTATACTTCTCTCCCTTTTTATGCATTGTTCTCATCCTCTTCTTGACTGTGGTTCAGACATGCCCACGTGTCTGATTATCAGTTCTTATCAAAGTATGACCTAAGGCAGGTAGAGAGAACAGCTCTGGAAAGGTGGGCAGAAGAAGGCAACTTTTTTTTCTGAAACTCTGGTTTGGGGGCCTGAGATTTTTAAAGAGCACTTGGCCATTTGACGTTAAGCCTGAAGAAGAAGCCATTTTCTATGGCACCTTTACAAAGCTATTAAAAAGATCTTGAGTCCTATGGCCGAGGCTATAAAAATTAGCCAAACGCCAAAGACACTCAGTAAATTCTGACATGACAGTACTGTCACATTTTATACTTTTTTCTTTCTCTCTTTAAAAATATTTTCTGAATAAAAATGAAACAATGCTATTTGTCAAACAAAAATAATTACAATCTTCAACAAGATAATTAAACAGCTTGATGTCAGACTTGGGATCCCGTGATGGTTTATATCCTGACAGATGGGTCCTTCCAGTCTGGCTGCAGTCAGTAGTATTCTGCCTGATTCCGGGCTTCATTGAAACATGTGGTACAGTAAGGTGAATAAAGAACCAAGTGTGAGGTCCATTTTTACAGTGCATTGGTCAGTCTAGTTTCTCTGACTAGTGAGCTCTGATCTGAGAGAAGCCATAATACAGATGTTCAAGTCTGCAGAAGACACAAGGTATTCACTTTACAAAAATCTGTTCTACTTTATGAAAGTGTACACATCGGGCTTCCTTTCTAAATGAGCTCTCAGACTGCATATAAAGTACCACCTTTCTTGCAGATTTTGTAGGTGTATCAGTTGGCCTAAGCAAGGACACATGCATGTTAAACTGGCATCCCTCATATGTCCTTTGTCACACTCGAAAGAAAGGAAAGCTCTGGTATCTTTAGAGAGACAGTCTGTCCATTCTTAAATACCGAAGTCTTTATGAGAAACTCAAAATACATTTAATTTGCGTAATAAGGAGAAAAAAGATGAAAAGGCAGGGTCGTTATTGCAGCTGCTGTTGTCAGCCCTGCCTTATGACTTTATATAATTTAAAGTGGAAAGAGAGAAGGAGGAGAAAGACAGAAGCTGAACGTCAGAAACCATGAATGTCATCTCCCTCTTTAGCTGGAGATGTTCCTGTCCCAGTCTCTGGTCTTACCGTGGTCTCGCAGCGGCTCTGCCCTTCTCTCGCCTCATGGGGGCTCGTGGGAGCTGGAGAGAGAAGGGCAGTGGTTCCTGCAGAGCCTCCTTCCTCAGCAAGAATTTGGCCTTGCCCCTGAGGAGGGCCTTCCTGTTAGCAGAGAAAGCAGGGCCTAGTGCCGTCTGCATTGCTGAGAGCCCCTCATGTACCCCTCAGTGTTTCCTGATGGCTACGTGTTTGAGCTTAAGATCTCAGGATGGGACACTCAGGTTCCTTCTAGACTTCATGCTGTCCTTAGATTTCAGAATCTCACCTGACCTTAAAATTTGTTTCTTGTTTGCTTTTGCATCGCACAAGATTTATATATACTTTCATTATTATGTTTGTAGCAGTAAAAATGGAATGTTCAAAAAATTCATACCCTTTCATTTCCTGGCCTTTTTAGTCTTGATATGTAACCATTTTCATAAACATTCTAACAGAGATTTTCATTCCCTTTAAAAGACAACAACGACAACTGATGTTTGTGAAAATACACACAGCCCAAAGCCAATTATCCTATTACATTAAAAAAGAAAAAAATCACTATGCCTAGATGCATTTCATTTGCTGCATTGTCTTAATTCCCTAAAGGAACTGCATCAATATGTCAGTTATAATTTAGCCTCTGATCAGCTGTTAAATATTATTTAAATATTTACCAGTCCTGTGGGGTCCTTTTACCTGTGTCTCCCCCAAATTACATCGGTGATTCTAAAATGAACAAAAGGTCTTCAGTGGATCACAGCATAGTTTCCACTGATAAAACTGAATGTTGATGGTGTTCTATTGCTTTGAAATTACCAACTGCCAAGCACATTATTATGCTAGAACAGAGGTAAATGTTCATCTCCCCTATCCAAGAACCTTAACTTTCCACTTGCCTTGAAGTATTGGGTATAGCGATTGTAAATGTCTGATTTAATTATTTGGTATTTTATTTGACTGCTTTGACCATGTCATTTTATAGCAGCATTTTTTAATAGCACTTTTTGTTGGTGGTGTGGAATTTCGGCGGTTACTTTTTTTTTTTTTTTTTGCAATGGATAAAGAAAAAAAATACTCATTGGATAAATGGCGAGTGTAAAAAAGAAGAGATTTATTTTGTACAGACAGCAGAGCATCCTGTGTAATGTTGCTGACATAAAGCACTTTGGGGGGAAAAAGTGGAAATCTGTTTTCCATAAATCACACAGACTCTTGTACATAGTTATATACACTCACGTAGAGAAATGAACTGCATATATCATACTGGATATGGGGCTGATTTTACTCTAGGGGCACATCTGGTGCTTATTGTCATAAATCTTTTAAAGAATTAGGTACACTTTTTTTCTATTAATATGTATAGTTTTGTGATTTGTCACAGTTATGTTTCATATAATCATAAGTTATTTTGTCTTGTTTCATGAAGTCCTTTTTTTATGTCAAAAGTAAAATGAAGGGATTGTGCACTTGGTACAGAATAAAACTGGAAATAGAGGATATGCCCACCTGCCTGAAATCCTCCTTCAGCATGTCATTTTAAAACACAATGGCAACTATTTGTTTGTTTGTTTTATTTTGTTTTGTTTTACCATCAGCCTCCTTCATATTGGAATGGTAATTATAATTAAAAGCAGATGGGGTAGGGGAGGGAGTGTCCAAGGCCAGCTTTAAAATGCTGCATTGCTTTGGGCCAGAACTGCAGCCTGGATTTAATTATAGATATGAGGACGAAATGGCAGTAAAAATGAATGTGTCCCTGAATCCTTTACATGTTGGGAGTGTCCATAAATAAAACATGAAGTTTTATTTCATCAGATTTAATTAAAGCTTTTATACATGTTTTATTGGTTATTCTATTAATCCGCTTCACAAACTGGATAAATGTGTGCTAGAGTTTGGGGTTTATTTGTACCTTTTCAATGTAGTGCTACATCATGCCTCAGAAATGCCTCTAGTTCTTGGCCCTCCATGTTATGGGGTTTTCAGCATGCTGGGCATTGGAGGAGGGGACGTTTTCTGCCCTGTTTTTCTAAAACCCTGTGGAGAAAGACACAAGTATCAGCTTCCAGTGAGCTGATACCCTGACCTTTGAAGTTATCTGATTTCCTGAAGGAGAAAGGGACAATTACCATGTCCCTGATTCCCAGTCCTGTCCACTTTGCAGGCTTTGGAAGGCCACCTGACCCACTGGTTGTGATGACCTTCCTTGCTCAACTCTCATCCGTGGGAATGCGGGGAAGGGAGGTTTAAATTTTAAATTGCGCGCTGTTCTGAGTAGCATGATAAAATCTCGCGATGTCTTACTCTGTCCTGCCCTGAGGAGAATAGCATATATAGCATGGAGACGTTAATCACGTCATAGCCGCCATCTTAGTTATCAGAGCAAATGTTGTGGTATCACAGTGCTTGGCTCCAAAGCTCAAGAGTAGTTATGCTGGCAACTCAGATATGCCAAAGAGAAGCTGTGAAGTGTTTGTTACGTATCTTCAGAAGGTCAATAGTAGCGTAACACTCCATCACACTGCCTACGTCAGGGGTCCCCCATCCCCAGGCCACGGACAGGTACAGGTCAGTGGCCTGTTAGGAACCAGGCTGCACAGCAGGAGGTGAGCAGCGGCGAGTGAGCGAAGCTTCGTCTGTATTTGCAGCCACTCCCCAGCGATAGCATCACCACCTCAGCTCCACCTCAGATCATCAGGCATTAGATTCTCATAAGAGCACCGGTCCCTGGTGCCAAAAAGATTGGGGACCGCTGGGCTACATCATTCACTTCACTTTTTCTCATCGTGTAGGCTTTGTATCATCTCACATCACCACAAGAAGAAGGGTGAGTACAGTACAATAAGATTTTGAGAGAAAGAGATCTCATTCACATACCATTACAGTATATTGTTATAATTGTTCTATTTTATTATTGTTAATCTCTATGCTTAATTTATAAGTTAAACTTTATCATAGGTACATACATATAGGAGAAAACAGTATATATAGGGTTCAGTACTATCCGTGTTTTCAGGCATCCACTGGGGTCTTGGAACATATTCTGCACAGATAAGAAGGGACTACTGTATAGAGTTTAGGTGTTAGAAGTATAGAGAACAGTAAGGAAGATATCAAAAAATCCAGATGCTAATTGACTCTGTTCAAGAAGAAATGGCACATGGAGGACCCTGAAGTCCTGACTGACAATGTTTTATTTCTTGACCCCCACGTTAAGCTGTACAGGTGCTTGCTGTATAATTATTTAACTGTGCATATAATTTTTATAGTTTTTAGTTCAAATACCAGTGAAGGCCAAGTCATACATCCCCTACTCCAGGCATCTGCAGTTTTTCTGCAAAGGGACAGATAGGACATATTCAGGCTTTGAAGGCCATGCAGTAGCTGCCTCAACTACTCAACTCTGCCACTGTAGCTCAAAAGCAGCCATACACAACATGCAAACACATGGGTATGGCTGTGTTCCAATAAAACTTTATTTATGGACACAAATTTGCATCTCCTATAATTTTCAGATGCCATGAAATATTTTTCTTATTTTGATTTTTTTTCCATTTAAAAATGTAAAAGCCAGTTTTAATTCTTAGGCTGTCAGAAACAAACAGCAAAGGCAGCAGGCAGGATTTATCCCATGGGCCAGAGTGTGCTGACCCTACTCAACTGAAGGAATACTTCCTGGCCCTTCCCATAAATATGCACCCAAAGAAAACCGCAGTTAGGAGCCCCTCTGCTGATTCTTCTGCTACGCTGGGCCCTGTTCCTAGAGGAAATTCATGAGTTCTATTGATGAAGCTTTTCTTTGTTTAGATTCTGGGTTCTGCTCCCTGGGATACAGATGAATGCTTAGAGTCTGGAGTGCCATTTGACTGTATTTCTGAATTTGAGGTTTTTAATAAAAGGAACTGGGCATAGAGAAATCTGTGAGAATTGGAAAATGAGCACCCATTCTTTCCAGGCTAACCAAATATTTGCTGGGTCTTGGCAGCCATAGCCAACCTTTTCCTCTGAAATGCTGAGAGGTTATAAATAATGGGAAACTTCATTTTTCTCAGGCCATAGCTCTTGTGAGAAGCTGGAGCTGCCTCTCAAAACTTGTGGTGTTCTCAGGGAGAGGAAAGGTAGGGTTTTTATGTTCAAAGTCTGCTGAGAAATGGTTGGAGTAGAGTCAGGGGAAGCTGACAATGCTAATGGTCTATACCCCCTCCACACAGCAGGAGAGCTGCTCAACACCCCAGCACCTTCTCTGGCCCTGGTTTCCCATAATGCCTAGCTCCCTAATCCCCAAACCCAGGGGTTTGTCAGCCCTGCTGGTGCTGACTCTCAGCTAGTCAGAGAACGGGACTGAATTCACGGGGTCACAATTGTATGCCTCTCTTTGTATCTCTAGCTTTTGATAAAATTGATAGTTCCAAAAATATGATTATTCATGAGTCCTGGGTCGTTTGCTAAATTGTAGTACGGTCTAAATCCTCTCCAGCAGGTCTCTCCGGTGGGTTGATGTGCTTAGATTTGTGTACGGTTCTGATGTGAAAGCTGCTGGGAAAAACAGTAGCTGGGTTAAAATAACGTGAACTTTATAAAGAGAAGTTTAACCAAGAGAAAGCTTAGAGAATACCCAATTCAAACTTGTCATTTTACAGAGGAGGAAACCGAGGTCGTTTCAATCATTTGTTTGCTCATTCAACAAATATTGTGTAAAATAAAGAGAGGTAAAAGTGGCTCTTATCCTTGCAGAACTAAAACAGGATTCCAAGAATCATCTGTCTGAGAATATTGCCTGGGGTGCTTGTTAAAAATGCACATTTTAGAGATATTAAATGCATGCCCCAGAGCTACTGAGTTAGAATTTTTAAGGATAAGATAGAGGTATCTGCATTTTTAATAAGCTCTCCAGGTGGTGGTTTGTACAAACTAAGTTTGGCCCCTCACCACACAGTGCAGGAGGCCCCTCACCATTTAAGAGGGCAACACAGCTTAATAAGAGCTAAGTAGAAGAGGGACTTCCAATTCCTGCCTGGGGAGACAGGAGAGCAGGTCAGTTTCCTGATGGAAGAGGTAGATGCCTGATAGTTAAATTAACCTTCAAGAAGCAGAGAAGCAGAGGAAGAATAGACCAGACTGGGAACAGCATGTGCAGAGCCAAGGGAAGAAGGAAAGTAACTTGTCAGGGTCACCCACCAGACTATTTGGAGAGTTGGAAGTGGTCCCATTCCTGACCCTGAGTCCCAGCTCTTCCTGTCATGGCCTGCAAGCTTAGGGATTGGTTTCCCAAACCAACAGGGGATGGTATGCTATTAGTCACTTTGCAAAAAAGGGTTCTGCTGTCCAATTAGTTTGGAGAATGGTGGGCCAAAGTTCCATAGATTCTTTACTTCAGGACCTGTCAGAGCCCTTACTATGTTTACTAAAGTTTGGGGCTCCGAGAAAGAGTTCCAGGATGGAGTCTATTGACCATGAAACCCTTTTCCCAAAAGTGCCTTGTTAGCACTATGGGAAACAGTTTGGCAGGTCCTCAAAAAATTAAAAATATAATTACCGTATGATCCAACAACTCCACTCTTATGTATATACTCAAAAGAATTGAAAACAGGGACTCAAAGCAGATACTTGTACATCAATGTTCTTAGCAGCATTATTCAAAATAGCCAAAATGTGGAAATGACCCAAATCATCTGATGAATGAATAAACAAAGTGTGGTCTATACATTTATTAGAATATAATTCAGCCTTAGGAAGGAAATTCTGACACATGCTATAACATGAGTGGACCTTGAAAACGACGTTATGTGAAATAAGCCAAACACAAAAGGACAAAGGCTGTATGATTTCACCTCGATAAGGTGCATAGAATAGGCCAGTTCATGGAGACAAAGTAGAATAGAGGTTACCAAGGGCTGAGCAGGAGGGAGTGAGGAGTCGTGGCTTAATGAATACAGAGTTTCTATTTGGGAGAATGAAAACGTTCTATTGATAGATAGTGGTAATGGTGTACAACATTGTGAATTTAGTTAATGTCACTATACACTTGAAAATGGTTAAAATGGTAAATTTCATGTATATTTTACCACAGGAAAAAAAAAAAGATAATATAAACAGGTGCCTGACACCTAGGAGACAATTTAAAAAGAAAAAAAAGCATCTTATTAGGCAAGTGTTCCTTAAGACACTCTTTGGGAATGGCTGCTCTGGGACCGGTGAGGGTAGAGCCCCAAGGGGATCAGTATGAGGCTCTGGGAGAATGCTGAGGGTTGAGTTCTCCAGAAAACAGAGGCTGAGATAGTTGGGAGTACAAAAACGTTTATTGGAGAGTGATAACTTGTGAAAGTAAAAGAGCAGAAGCCAGATTGGGCAGGGGCTGCCATCAGACTGTGATGCCAGCTAGACTGAGACTGTGTTCTGGGTCAAAGGCTGTTGTTACCCAAAAGAGTTCCCTGTTGAGTGGAAATAGCTAGGCCATCATACCACCCCCTTGCTGAAGCCCACCCTGAGAAAGCTATGTCTTGTCTATCACTGTCATTCATTGGCTGAGTTTCTTCTAGGGAGCTGGAAAAAGTTAATGCTTCAGAGGACCCTGAAGAAGTTAATGCTGTCAGCTAACTACACATAATGTAACTGGGGATCTGAACAGCATATCCCTGTGACTGCCACATAGGGCACTGGGGAAAAGTATAGGCTCATCATCATTATGTTTCCCAGTACATAATAAAGAATATACGGGGCACATACACTAACACACACTTTGGAAAATGACCTATTGCTTTTTCTCTCATCTCGAAAGACATTGAGGAAAGTCACAGGTTTTAGTGTCAGGTAGACCTTGTTCTCTGCCACTTCATGCTT